GGGGGGGGGGGAGTCAAGCCTGTAAAGTTCTAACTAATATTCACTAAACTTAAAATGCGGGAAGATAAAAAAGTACCTTATCAGAAGTACATAATACTTCTGTCTCCTTGTGTCTCAGTAGCACTGAATTAATGTTCTATGATTTCCAGAGTTTTGACTGCTGATGGTCAGTTAGCATCCTACAACTGCCTCCTGCAGAGACAGAAAATATGGTTCTGTAGTTTTAAACTACTTTTAACTGTTTGTACTGCTCTTGCTTTAAAAGTTTGATGCACGTAGAGGTAGACTCCTTCAAATGGGATCTATGAAAGATCCAAGTACTAGAACATTATTCTGTGTTAGCAGTCACAATACTGTGCATTTATTTTGGTTCTGTTGCAAGACACCTTTTGTAAGTGTATAATAAGGATTTGAAAATGGCACCTAATATGAACTCACTTTGATCCCAGTGCAAATTTGGGGGGGGTTGTTTAAATGATATCTATTTGGAGCAGACTCATTGCAGGATAGAAGGACACTATGAAATTTCAAAGAATGCAGGTTTGCTAGGTAATCAAAATTTCCAACCATAAAACCTCACAGGAAAATACAAGAAAACATAACTTTTAATAAATCTGTTCTTCTAAGCAGCGTATACAACAATGTTTCTGTTTTTCAGTGATTGATCTAAACAGATTTTATTTTTTCTTTTTCTAAGCTTATCACATATTGCAAGTAGCTTACTAGCCCTCAGCTTATGCTTGAGAAAGGTCTATGAAAGTTACAAAGTAAAATGCTAAGTATTTTAATATGTTTACATGACACTTTCTTTTTTTACCTATAGGAACTAGGGAGAAAAAAGTTGTGTTTAGAATAAAACCAGAGACTAGTAGAAAAATGTATGGCTTCTGTCTTAGGAGACTTAATTAGAAGAGAGTCTGTAAGACAAATCAGTGTTGTTCCAATTTATCCCCAATCTGTTCACATCTGCGTATCCCTTCATGAATGGCTGGGAAATGGCTGCACCATCAGCTAATGAATTAATCAGTTGCACTTAAGACTAGAAAGAACATCTTAGGTCAGCAAGGCCAGTCCCCTGCTGTGACAATATATAATCTCATTTAAGAAGCTATCACGCTCCCTCATGTAACTGGCTAGGGGCTTTTTTGGTGTTGCTACCCCCTTCCAATTGACAGCCTTTTCCTGATTGTGCTTCTCTGTTGGCTAGGACCCTTTCCCTAAATTCTTAACTAAAGTGATCACACCAACTTTATACCCTTTTTGTCACTTCTTTTAATTGAAATTTTTTTTTTTTTTTTGCCTGAAATTAACACTTTGTGTTCCTGAAGGAATGATCATATCCTGTGGTCAACCTTTACATCCCTATATTAAGCAAGTGTGTGTGTGTTGTGTGTGTGTGTTTGTTTGATTGATTCTGTCTTTTTATTCTTATTTATTTCTCTCCTGTCATAATATTCTTTCCCCCCGTCATCACAGCATATCATCCTAGCAGTCTTTTACACTGTCTTTTCCAACCTGGACTCTTTTTTCTTTTTTTTTTTTTTTTTTTTTTTTTTATTATTTTAACTTATAGCCAGGACTGAATACAGCATCCAAGCAAGGTCTTGCCACTACCATTCACATTAATATTTACACTTCTGCAGATCCCTCCTAGTGTTGCCTCTGCGTCACACTGGTAGTTCAAACTTCTTCCTTCAATCAACCAACAGAGGTGATTTCCTCTGCTGCTTCCTACTGGTGACCTCACATCTTCTAGCAAATACTTTTTAAAGTAACTAGGTGCCTGAGCTCTTAGGTTGTGTCTGTTGGGTTTTGGTTGCCCCAGATCCTTCTGCCAAGTTTACAAGTACTTGGCATGTCATAACTGCTATTCTTGAAACTTACCTCCAGATTCAAAATTCAAGTTGCATTTCTAGCAGAGTATATATAACCAGTAATAGCACTACTCCAAGTTATGTGTAGTGTGGACCTGGTTAAAACATGGTGGAGGTAGTTTTACCTTTTTGCAAAAACTTTTGAAAAAAAAAAAAAAAAATCTGCATACATACATCAGAAAAGTCCCCATGCCTTTTTCTCCTCAAAGGTCTTCTGCCACACTTCTGCAAGCACCAACCATAACAATTTACAGCTATTAGTTTTATGTACGCCAATAACTCAGTCTGTCTGGGGAGCAGTGACGTGGCAGAACAAAGTACTCTGTTACACAAACACACTCTTGCCCTTCGGGCAGCAGAGGGCAAAGGCCAGTCCATGTGTTACCTTCCCATACCTGCGATTCTTTAGGGGACTGGAAAGACAATCTGCATTTGCAGGAATCTATGAGTATTTCCTTACGCAAAGTCCCAAAAATGTTCATATTTTGTACTTCTGGTTTATTGATGCCTTGGAAAACGGCTTCAGTGATTACACTTCTGTAGCTGCTACATGTTTTCTTCTCTTTTGAATCTAAGTATGCCAGTGCAGCTTGCTTGCAAATTCTCATGTGCATTTCCAATAGCAAAGGGATGTATATGATTGGTGTTAGCAGCTGAGATGAGGCGTCTTTGCGTGTCCCTGTCTGGAAATTCTCACGTCACAGGTAGCACAGATGTCATACATGACAGACAGGACACTTATGTACTTGTCCTATATCATACCCCAGCCAAGCTGTCAGATACAGATAGAGGGGTCCTCAGAATACTATGCAAAGACTTGAGCTCACAGCCTGTGCTGGAATAGGTATCGCACGCTAACATCACAAGCAAACCAACATCAAATTCGAAGAGTGCATTTTGCAAATGCTGATGGATTTTGAGATCACTGCACTGCTTCTTGGTATCCGAGTCATTGTGCCATCATTCTCCTTGCGAACGCTTTAACCAGGGGACCAGAAAAGTGGGGGCAAAATGCAATGCTGATCCCATAGTGGTGAGCCATCACCGCGTGCTTAGAGGGACTATGTGCAGGCAATAGCTGCCCCTGGGTGTCCCTTTGTTAGGTCAGCTGCATCAGCATCCCCTTTCTGAGAGCAACGCTCTGTTTCCATCCTTCCCTTCCATGAACTCAGAACCGTCTTTGGCAGATGGGGGTAGAGCTTGTCCTGTTGCTATCATTACATCTGACCCCCTTTTGCCTTTGCCCTAAGTGGTATAGTACCATGGAGAGTCCTTTTATAGTTTAAATCATTAGGTGCAATTTAAAAGTACTGTCCACAGCTGCTAGCTAAGCCAACCTAGACCTGGGGGGAAAAAAATGGAGCATTCTTTTGCCCATAACTATTAATTGGAATTCTTAAGTAAATTGTTCTTTTCTGCATTTATACACAATTTGTTCTGTGCTCATTTTCCCTAGTTTCACAATTAACTGGGCCTGTTAGAAGGAACGTTTGGCATAAAAGAAAACTTTAAGTCAGTATGAGAGAACGTTTGTCAGAGAACAAATTCAGACTTTTTGTGAGTGCTCATATCAGACAGGTTTTCTGAGAGCATTACCAATCCCATTGGAAAACTGGAACGGACCACAAGACCCAAACGTGCCTTTAAATGGCACACGTCTCCGAATGGTAGCAGTAAACTGTTACTTGACAAGTGACAGAATGAGCACTACTTTGGGACATTGTTTGACAGATTAATCTGAGAAGGTGGGAAAGGAAACAAGCTATTCACAAAACACTCATCCACAAAATGATCACATTTATTGAACAAATAATCTCTCCACGCTTTGTCAAGTCTCAAACATGATGACTCTTCTCCCTCCTGCCAAAATTGGCAATATGCCCTGGATAGGATATTGTGTACGTATAATTAGCAGCGGAGACTAAAAACAGAGCAGGGTCACTTCACAGTTGCAATAGTTAATGACAGCTTTGCAAATTCTCTAGATTTTATCACTGTTTTAAATAAAGTTTTCTAGTCTGAAAATCTTTTACAGCAAACCTCTTCAGATAGACATTTATGCTTGTGTGTAGGTAGTTGAGTCAGTAATTGACTTCATTCATGCCTGCTCTATATCTAAGTGCTCAAACCAATTTCTGTCCTAGAGATAAGGTTATTTGCTGAGGGAAAAACGTAGCTTGTATTGTGACATTGAGCCTTCACCTTTTGCTCTCATTTCTTGAGTTCTTCCACTTAAGGCTCCCTGTAAATTTTAAACTGCAGATGGGTGAGTTGTAACGCCCATTTTTCTAACTCATTCTTGTCAGATTTTACAAGTGAAGGGCATGCAACAATGTCTAATAAGAGCAATGTAAATACAAAGCATAGTAACCTGTCTTAGCTGGGCACGGATGCAGTCATCTATTGGAAATGTGGATGACCAGCTCAGAGCTATCAGTTCCCTCGTACCAAATTTAACTCTGCGAAAACATAAATTGAATGTTAACAGTGAAATTGCATGCAGCCTCAGGTGTTTATTGCTTGTCCAAAGACCATCTCAGGTACGTGAGAGAAAAAGAGGGTACATCTGGATGCTCAGGCTTGGGTAATTTGGCAGAAATCTTTGTAAAATTGTTGTGTTCCCTCTTGGCTATTCCTGAAGCTAAACAATCTCACTGGTCTCAGTCGCTTTCAGCAGAGAGATTTTCAATATCCTTAGCCACTGTTGCTGTCCACTTTTTCAGCGCTTGCTTTGTACGGGCTGGTGGACAGCATGCTGATGCAGGACTTTGTCGTTAGGGTTTCAGCTCCTGACTACCACCAGCTTGCTTGGCAGCCTTCCTGTCCCTCCCCCAGAAATCATGGATAACAGCACCGGCATCCTTTGTGGAGCACTTTTGACATCTGTGGATTAAAATGCTCTGTTAGGGCGCTGTTACTCCAGGGGAAGGATTGCTGCTGAATTACATAAGGGCAATACAACATTTTAAATGTTGCTGTCCATCCTATTCCTCCTAACTCCCAATGTTTGCAAACGTGGTACCAAGCACTTTTCTGTGGGTGTCTGAGGAATAAAAGTGACTCTAGCTGTTCAATATTTAGCACTTGTCAACACTCATTTTACCTGTTCTGCTCTGATACTGCCAGTCTCACAGCAGCTGGTCTGTCTTGTGTTAATGAACTTCAGTAATTGTATGTTACCTGTGTATTTTGCCACTTCAGAAGGGCCAGTATCTCTCACTGATGAGCAGCACGTATCAGACAGCATTACAGCTTACGGGGGAAATGTGATGGCTTCTCTCTGGACCTTACGTTGGGTGGACATGTGCTCAGTTTCTTCCTATCTGCTATTTTTTTCCTCTCTCAGCAACGTTTTGATCTCAGTTGGAACCTGTACTTTCTCACCAGGATTACCTTAGGATGCTGGAGGCAGAGTTTGGGTTTATTTTTTTTTTTTTTATATGTACTCTTGTGAGTGATTATGGCTGACAGCCTGTAGTTCCCTCAGTTGTTTCTTTTCTATCCTCTGTTTTATTGAGATGCCACCTGGTGACATGGATGCCTTACAGCACTCCGAAGTTCAGAGGTTTCTTTCTGGGCACTCGCTCTGCCTGTGATCTCCCAAGACACACACCACCTGCAAAGCGGCTGAGGAGATCCCTGGGCTCAGCGAGAGTGACAGAGCTATCACTGTCCTTCCTCTGCAGCACATCTGCAGCCTTTTTTCCCGCTGTGCTGTCAGGAGAGGGGGGAGGGAGGTTGTTTGGTTTGAGGTGTTCTTCTGGTTGGGGTTGGTTATTTATTTGTTTTGCAATTGTCAGTCAATATAGCCAGCAGTCCCAGACCAGCACAGCTACCTGATTGTAGAATCACGGAATGGTTTAGGTTGGAAGGGACCTTAAAGACCACCTAGTTCCAACCCCCATATGCAGGGACACCTCCCTCTAGACCAGGTTGCTCAGCCTGTAGAGATCCAGCGACCCATAGTCACTGCTCTGGCTGATAGCATTTTTATGTGACCACTGTTTTTGTTACTCCATGGTTTACTGAGAATTGAGTTCCTCCAGTTTTTTTATCATAGTATTAATACGGTCTACTACCCAGACACATCAGACATTTTAGGGACTGGGTATGCCAGTGCAGGTTCTCCACCTGCTTTGGTTAAAAGGATTGTCCCTATCTTCAGAAGTCATACTTGCTCTGTAACTTTATCTCCCTCAATTCTTCCCTCTTCCCCACCCTCAGCGTCTGAATGTAGTTTCAAAAAATGATGACAAACACTGTGTCTCTGTCACCTCCATCTAAAATATGTGTATTGTTGTTTTACATGACATTTTGCCCAGTTCCTTCCTTAAGGTACTTTTAACTGAAAACTCCCTTACCCTCCAGGCTAGGGGGAATTTGCTCTGTATATTCCCAGGAAGTACATGTGTATGACACTTTTAGGGTAGCCCTCCTATCCATTACACTGCTTTGACAAAATGCTGCTATTTGCAAAGGAGCTGCCGTTCTGTTTTGTCTGCCATTTTAGCACCGTGCCTTCACATTGACAGGGAAAATATTTCCATACCTACTGCCTTGAAAAACTACCTCGCCTTACAGAAGGTAGAGCTGGAGTACACAAACAGCAAGACTATCATGTTCACATTGCAAACTATCCTGATGCATTCCCAAAGCTCTCCTTCTCCGGGGCTGTTGATAATGCCGAGACTCGGAACAAAAATCAGAAACAATTCCTGACTTAAAGTGCATGCAGCTATTGGAAACGAGACTCGATTAAGAAACATTGTCACCTAGTGGCCAGAATAAGATGTATTTATTATTATTGATCTCATCTTTATAACGATATATATATATGTGCGTATCTCAGTGTATCATTGCACCAGTGACTATTTCTGGTTAATACCATATGCTGAGACACGTCAGCTCTTCCCAGTCCAAAAGCCCTTTAGTAAACCATGTACGTTTGCTAAAGCAAGCCAGAGCAGCAGCAGCTTGGCAGTTTTGCAAAGAGAAGTTATTAAGAGGAAATTGCTCTGCAGAAAAAGCAGTTCACGGTGCCATACAGAGACTGCCCCATCAACCGGCCCCTCTCCCGCTCCAGACTACCCACCGTACCTCACCTCTCTGTTTGGAGAACAAGCACCTCGCTCTTTGGCATTTCAGCTCATCATACTCCCAGGTGGCCTGGAGATTCAGAGCCAATTTCTACTACTCTACAAAAATCTACTGCTTGTGCCTGGATAGAGGGCTATGGATCAATGCTTTTCTCCCTCACCAGGTAGTTAATGTTGTACCCTGGCATCAACTGTGGGGAACAAACCCATCAGCTGCTGGGTTCCTAAACCTGTCCTAGGCTGCAGGTGCCCAAAAGAGGTGGTGTTTTGTTCCACGTTGCCAAGGTAAAGCGAGGCCACCTACACTGGCAGTGGCAGAGCTGGTCTGGGAGGGGGTGGGAAACGTGAACCAGGTGCTGCCTGACCTGCTGCTCAGCCCTGCTCCAGCAGCTCCCCTGGAGCCACTGGCTGAGCCCCTGGCTGAGCCCCGTTTTCAATCCTGAGCCTGACACTTATGAGCAAATGTTTTGTTAGAAGTCATTCGTTTCTACATGTCTACATCATTCCAAAAACTGGGATGCAACCTACCATGAGTGGTGCACATTTGGAAACTCTAGGTCTCTTCAACTGAGTAAGTGGCTGACTCCAACCAGATTTACAGTCATCTCCCTTGTGTTTTCCTCATGTAACTAGACACATAAAATAGGCAGCTCTGTTCCTGGAGCATAAGAAAAGACGCAACTTTCTTTAAAAATAAAATTAAAAAAGACTTTAAAGCTTCTGAAAGGTCTGCTCTAAATGTTCTCTCCATATAGATTAACAGGTGTATTACTGAAAAATATTCCCATCCGGGACAGACTTTGCTGCAAGGAGATCCTAGACTGTTTTAAGAGAAGAAACTTAATCATATTAGCTGGAAAAGGCAGCACTTCTCAAGAGACAACTGGTAAAGCAGCTCTCAGGCTGCGAACTTTTGTTATCCATTATTGTATACAACGTACCTAAACAGCTGCAGTTTTTGGCAGGTTTTGGGTTTTTTTTGTAGTCTGTGCTCCACTCTACCAATCTCTCCTCCTCCCTTTTTTCCCCATGAGTTATGTTTCATGAGTTTCATCTGCCCACTTAGGGAAAAAATGTTCTCCAGGCCTTTAAATGGTGGATCTTTGATAGAGGCAGCAGCAGCTCTTCATGTTGTGCTGTTTTATTCCCAGACTTACTCACTTGTTCCTGCTTCTGAAAAATACCCAGCTAGTTAAAAGGTTTCGTGCCCGATTTTCCAACGGATAAGCTGGTTTAATTTTTTTCTCGTGGTACAAAAGTGTAGTTTCAGAAGAGTCATCTCACATTTACACACTGAACTGCTTCTTGCTTTGTTTGCTTTTTGGTTGCATGGATTTTAATTTTTTTTCCAGGTTGGCTGTCTTGGTTTGGAAACAGCATTGTGATTTTTGTCTTGTATAAACAAAGACATCTTCTGCAGCCCACCGACTACCTCACATTTAACTTGGCAGTATCAGATGCTAGTATCTCCGTGTTCGGTTACTCACGGGGGATCATTGAAATCTTCAATGTCTTCAGAGATGATGGATTCATTATCACATCAATATGGACCTGCCAGGTAAGACTGGATTATACTTAATTAGACAAAATAAGTGCAGCTATTTCTGTGTAAATGCTGTATATGAATAACCAGACAGGGCCACAAGACTGAAAAGAAATATTGACCGACCTTCCAAAAGGACAGTGTTCTCTTTTTGTTACACCCATAATATGTATTTGATCAGGTTTTGGCCAATATTCGGTGATTTTTGTCTAACTCCAGCTGAGGTATGCGCAGTAGTTTCTACTAGTTTGGGGTTTTTTTACCTCATGTCCTAGCTCCCACTCATGTTGCAAAGCTAAGGTGTAGGCTGTGCTTGTCTTCAGCTCCCCTGAAGTCAATCTGGTTGTTGACACTTTAACGTTTGACTTAAAGCAATGTAGACTCCTACTTGACAAGGTGCGTAGAGCAAAGCTCCACACAGCTCTTGGGTATACCTGTATATTTTAGCATGCAACTACTTGTACTAAATCAGTTGTTACTCTTCAGTCTTACCCCTAAATTCATTGTTGGTCTGGCGCCTGTAGTAGGATGAGTGACTTGACTATGGCGCAGTCATCCCTGAACTTGGAGGCAGCTTTTTGCTGGTGAACTGGGAAAATGTTATGATTGCTAATTCTGAAACACACCTGCGTAGACAGAATATAAATATAACCCATGGATGGATAGGCACAAGCCTGGCTCCCTAGTGCTTTCGGTAACATCTGTGAGAAAGATTATGCTTAGCATGAGTGTCTGTTTCACGAGGGAATCAAAAATCTGAAAATGACAGGATTGCCTACGGCAAGGTATAAGTAAGATCATGATGAAGGAAAAGGGAGAGGGAAATAATCCTCTTTTTTTTTTTGTGGTTTTGGTGGGTTTTTTTAAGAGGAAGTTAAACTATAGTGTAACATAGATGAAAGCTTTTTTACAGCTCAAGTCACCTCCCCTTCAACACAAAGGCATAGTTTACCCAGAGAGAAAAACTTCCCACAAAAGACTCTGATTAAGCTGGGAGCTGTAGCTTGATCTAAAAAATGTTTATTTTCTTGCTCAAAATGTGTGTCTATTGCCATTTGGCAGAAAAGGATTTATCAAAGTGAAGCTAATTATTTCCTCAGAAAAATCCCACTATTTTACTAATGAGAATTGCAATCTAAGGTCTGTTGAGGTAAAAACTTCCAGGACACCTCTTTATTTTCTTTTTTTTTTTTTTTTATTAATGGAAACCTTTGAAGTCATCATATGAACAAAGCCATACCTGCAAACTGTAAAATTCATACCCACACTCAGAATTAAACAGACTCTCATTTTGTCCTGTGTTTCAAGGAGGGTTGGAGCTATGAGGAAGGAAGGAAGGGTCAAATCTGGACCTCGGGGTTCAGTTCCAGCTTTGCTGCAGACTTCCTATGTAAGACAGGATAAACCATTCATTGTGAAATCCTGAACTGAGATCTGTGGCATAAAATAACATTTACAACCCAGCTTGCTGAAAGAAGTAACTTTAAATGACCCTTCTGCCTCCCCAGCCCAAGCTCTTCCAGAGGCTGAGAAGCCCCTGACATTTTTTGTGTAGTTTAGAGCCCCATCTGCACTATGGCTCCTTTTTTGGCCTGTAAAAAACAACACACACAGGAATCAACAGTGCATGGCACACTGTGTCCATGTGCCGTAATGCAAATCTTGATTTGCATGGGAGTCTTTTGTCAGCAGCCCTACAGCTTTCTTCCACAATGCCTCTGCTTTGGAGTCCCCCTTTGGCTGACTTTGAGCTATTTAGAGTCTTGTTATGACCATCTGGGGTTTTTTTGGTTTGTTTTGTTTTTTTTTTTTAAGACATAAAAAGACTGGAATGGAGGTGTCCTTGACCTTAATGTGATGGAGGTCTGCTTAATCTTGCTCTGCTTGTACTGCCTTTACAAGGAGAGAGATATTTTTGGAGTAGTTCGATAGTTTGTTGTTCAGGGTGTGTTAAATAATTTTAATTGGATCTGCTGGTTTTAAACAGCCTTCATTTGTAAAATATGGATATCAAGCAAAGTTTTAAGGTATTGGAATCCAAAGGTTTTGTTCGGGACATTATTAATGCATTGGCTTTTCTAAACACTCTGATATATAAAATATTAAACCTTCTGTTTTGAGAATGCTCTGTCGGCTTTAAAAGTTAACATTTATCATTTCAAATAAGAAATGATACCATATTAATACTAACTAAAAATTCATGGTAACCTGGAAAAGTCAATTTGTACTCTAAATGAAGAATTTGAATGGGTTGTGAATTGTTGGGTGAAAATCAGGATATATTGAACAACAGGTAGGATTCCTGTTTTCATCAAGACTTTATTCTGTGTTAAGAGGATGTCAAAGATGTGTTTAAACCCTGGCATTCATTATCTTGATTATTACGCTTGACAAAACAGAAGCTGGTGATGGAAAAGTAGCTTGTGGAAGTAGCATGGCCATTTTTAGGAATAATATTTTGCAGAAATAGCAAGAAGCTTCTGTGCATAAAAAAAAAATTTAAACATTTCCATGTACATGTAGACAGCCAGCACGAAGGTCATTCTAAAACTGTACAATGTTGAACAGCAGTAGGGTTTTGATTGCTTGTTTTTTTTGATATTTGTAAAACATGACACGTTGGTAGTCCAACCAGAATTTGGTCTCACATCTGGAATGTGAGGAGTGAGGAGCTTGGTGCCAGGAAGATAAAGCCCATGCATGTCACAGCTCTCCGAAGTCAGTGTCTCTTGTGCCTCTCACCACACTCAAGCTCCTCTGCAAGTAGCTGGGATGACAATTTGGACCATTGTGCACATTAACCTGGAACTTTCTACAGCATGGCCTGTGTGTTTTCCCTGACTTGGTTTATTTTGCTGAGTCCAGAGGACAGCCTTACTTGGCTTTCTGTCATTTAATTTCATTTGATCAGTCAGCTTCTACTGTCAGGTATGCTTAGGGAAACGCCATTTTCGCAAGTTAGCCTGTCATTTCTGTTTACGAAGAAATTTCATGAGCTCACCTCATTTAATCCACCAAACTATTTTCCTTTCCTCTGACTCGGGCCTCCTTCTCTGCCCTCGGGTAAAATTTTTCAAAATTAAGGTTCACCATACTTGGCTGCCCCAGTTAGAAGGAGTGAGGAGAATACAGACAGATACTACCTCTCTTTCAAAACAGGATAGTTTGTGAAAACTCTCTGTAGCAAAAGATGCATTTCCAGCTAAAAGGACCATCTCATTGCATACCTGCTGAAAGGGTCAGATATGTGTGCTCCTGTTCTCCTCTGTATGGAAGAAACATTACTATTCTTCCCCATTCCAAATGTTCTTTTTCTCTTTGGAGGTCTAACAGAGGTCTCCTCTCAGGAATGAGGCTCCATGGTAGGTCTGTATCCAAATGCTGCCCCCACTGAACGCTATGGATGGGCACAGTTTTCCAAGGGTGGCTTTGAGGCTCTGCTTTTACTTCTTGTTTATCCTTTCTCTGCTCTGCCACTGTCTCTTAGTCCTGACCTGAACAGAGGGAGGACAGTCAGTCTCTAGCACATTCAGTTTTTTGCCTCTGGCAATATTATCAGTAAGTAAACTAGTTCATATAGTAAAGTTCATGTCAGGGAATGTAAGGCAGTGACCAAGAGCCATCTGTTCCCCCATTGACCATATTTCTAGTGAAAAGCTACCTCAGGATATATTTTTGTCCTTCCCATATGTTTTTTTATTCACGTGTTCTGCTGAATTAGAAGTTGAACTGAAACCTGTAAATAACATTGCATGCAAATGTTCTTACATGTAGGAAGTAGAGAAATGTTAATTCTCTCCAGGTAAACACCACAATTTCTTCTGTTGGTTAATCAGAATGGTGCGGTGAATACAATCTGTTAATGGTGCAGTGAATACAAAAGATGCAGGCTTCAGGAAACCTCTAAATATAGGTAAAGGATTCTAACTTGTCTGATCCCCAGAGGTGCGATGCAGTCATGTCAGAAACCAAGGATGGCCTGTGGCGTGCTTTAGAATTTGAAATCCTTCATAATCCTGGTACTTCAGTTTAAACTTGTTTTCACTAATTCACTATTCTAATTTTTTCTTTTTTTGGTTTTTTTTTTTTTTTTAGAATACTGTTTGGTTATTTGGACATTAATTTTATAAATACTTAAGAATTTTACTATGAGGGTCAAGAAAATTGATTGCTCGTATCATGTGCTCACTCTGTTGGTATAGGCTTCTTTAAAAAAGCATTACTTATTTCCAACTGTTTCTTACGTAGAAGGTGTATCTCAGCTGTGCTCCGCAGAGCACAACGTAGTTATCTCCAGGTCGTGGTATCGTCACAGACATAGCCACTGCCACAGACAGACATGCTGACTGACGCTATTATCGCAGATGCACTCACCTCACTGTCAGTCTAGGTATCCCCGGTCCATCTGGGCAGCCAGATGGTGCCAGAGCATCCCCAGCAGATCTGGCTCTGCACAGAAACAGCCTCAGGAGGAACCAAAAAAAAATATCGTCAGCTTTGAGGTATTAGTGAGCACCGCAGTTGCCTGCCCAACAGGACTCAGCCCACACCACCTCCGTCCTTGCAGCCTCACTGTCCCACCAAGGCCTGGAAGGACCTGCCTTCACCCTCTTGCTGAAGCTGCTTCGTGTTGTGTGGAATAATAAAACCACTGAGGAGAGCCAGAGAGAGAGATATGACTGTCTCACCCTGTGGTTGGGTTTGCTACATAGCAGTGAGGAAACCTGATTTTGAATCCTACTCTCCTTAATAGTTTGATGTTTTATACAGTATTTCTGTCTGGCAGACCCTGGACAGAAACAACTGGCAGTGGGGTGAGCAGCAGTGAGCCCCACATTGCACACATGCGTTGTTTTACTCTGTTACCTGTTTGTGCACAGTTTGCCTGACAGCACCAGGCCTGTGGCACGTGTGCATCCTGAAAAGGCACAGTGCAGCCACGAAGTCTAAACTTTTCTAGGAGTGACAGACTCAGTGTGCATGCGTTGAGGAGTACGTGACCCATGGAAATGTCT